ATATAGGTTTATTCCATATCTTTGATGTTGTAAATACAATACAAATGGATATACAAGTATATCTGCTGTAGGTCCATCAAAATATATCCTCTGGAGTGTTCTAGCTGTCTCATACGATAGTTCTGTTTTCAGCTTCAATTAGTGGCTGCACTAAATTACATTTTTACATCCTTGCCAACATTTAAGAAAAGTAACCCTGTCTCAGAAAAAGAAAAAAATCATATTTTTATTCACATAGTATTTAATGGTTATTGAAGTCTATTTAAATGGTTTGGTATGAAGAATTTTGTGTGACCCATGTTGATTTAATGACCATTCTAATGGTAATTACACTGTTGTTATTAAAATGAGTATAATGTTAACTGCTTATTGCAAAGGTTGCACAGTAAATTAAAAGATGCCGTTGAAAAGCAATTGGAAGCCCTTCCCTTTGGCACAGGGGTAGGAAATGACATCTGTGCAGATGATGAAACCGTGAGGAACCTTCAGGAACAATTGCAACTAGCCAATCAAGTAAGTGACATTTATTTACTAAGTTTAAAATCATCAGGAATATGTGTTAATCTTTGTTTTACTTTTTTACTTTTGATATTATAATTACATCATTACTATCTTCTCTTCCCTTTCTTACTCCAAATGCTCCAATATACTCTTCCTTGCTCTCTTTCAAATTCATGACCTTCTTTCATTAATTGTTGTTACATGCATATATGTATATACATATATACTTTAAATATAACCTGTTCAGTCTGTATAATGTCAGTTTTATATATGATTTCAGGACTGACATTTTGATATAAATAACAAAATTTATATCACTTGATTTTTCTGTGACTTAAAACTTGTAAATGCCCTCACTATTAGAATTGTATTTTCAAATATATTTTATTTGAATAATGTGACATTTGAAGATTTTTGTCTTTAAGAATAATTAATGTTAGAAGAAAATTCTAAAGAAAGGAGTAATCAGTAGTTTAATTTCCTTACACTAATATTTTTATATGTTTTCTTCTGATACCATTTTCAATTTTCAAAGATTATAACATAAATATCCTTCTAAAATTATACTTTCTCTGGTTTTATTTCTTCCTTCATAGTTTTTGAAATTTCTGGCATTCTGTGTACTGTGTATTTCATTTTTCACTGTTACCATTTTTGTGAATTTGTACATCAGGAAACTTTATTTCACTTTATAATTTTACATTCCTGTGTCTCAGACCTTATATGAGTTTGAATCTCTGCTCTTCTACTTTGTATCTCTGTGTGTGAAAAGTCTTTGGAGCTCCCTATGATGTTGTCAAGGAGTGGTGGGGGTCATTTGTACATTATTTGAGTGCATGTAATTCTTTAGTAATTATTTTATAGAAACTTAAAATCCAATATATATTCTGAAATTATACTCAGTATGGACCAAAAATGCCTATCTTTAAGCTCTACCTTCTCAGGAATACAAGTAATTCCCTAGCCTTCACCTGGAATGCCAAAGCTTAGACTTTAGAGACAAAGAATGTATGAGTTACTTTTCTCTTGTTATGATCAAGTGCAATGACCAAAATCAACTTAAAGAAGATTTATTTGACTTATGGTTCCAGAGAATTAGGCCCCATAATGGCAGGAAAGCCATGGAGGCCAGCATCAGGAACAGGAAGCTGAGAGATCTCATCTCAACTACCCACAGGAAACAGAGGCCACAAGCTAGAAGTGAGATAAAGATAGAAACCTTCAAAACCCTCCGCCAGGGATGACTTCTTCTAACAAGACCCACCTCTTAAAGTTTCTATAACCTCCCTAAACAGCACCCCAAGCTGAGAACCAAAGTCCAAAGACAGGTGCCCATGGGGGACATTTATCATTCTAATAACAACAAAGAGAAAATGTTTTGTTTTCCATTCTTAGTCAAAACTTGGTAAGGACCCTAGGCAACCAGTTTGCCTGTGGTCTCAGTGGGTTACTGTTAGCTTTTCTTAGCCTTTTGGTTTTAAAACAATACCTGGACCCCTTACTTTAGTATCCTACAGTACTTTTTTGTGAGTTGTATCTGTCAGTATTTAGTCTACTGTAAATTAACAGGCTTTATTTTTTGAATAATGATATAAAGCATACTTTGTAGCAGCCCTCAGCACAAAAATGACATGTCATATACTTTAGAAAATTCCACTGTGATGGCCAATGTCTTCCTATTGTTATGAACATAATTTTGACCTCAACATCATCTCAAAGTCTTAAACCCTAGGCTCCCTTACCATGCCTTGGTAAGACTGTATTAAAAAGTTAATTGATGAATTAAAAATAATCTCACTATAAAATGCCAAGTGTAATAGTGTTACATTATATGTAACATACATTTTGTGATTATAATTTTGCTAAAAGAAAAACTTAAAAAATTGTATCCCAGAAGCACACTTATAAAAAGTGTATATGCATGAAGAGAGTCGACCTTTATAAAGAGGATTATATCCAAATAGTAGTGTTAATTAATTAGCAAGGCTAATACCTATAGTTCTAAGTAGTTTTTTATTGTTTCTGTTTTCCATATTTTCCTAGTTTTCTGAAATAAGCACTTAACTCTTTACAGTCAGAAAGTCATATTGTACTTTCTCAGAAGGACTTTTCTCCTTTAGTAATACCAAGGCTTAATTTGTACTTTTTTGTAGAACAAGTAAAATAATTTTTATATGTATTGCTGATAACATTAATTTTAGCTATTAAATCTAAGTAAAATTTCTAAGTAAAATTTTAGTTTTTAAATTTGTTCTCTAAGCTGGGCAGTGGTGGCGCACGCCCTTAATCCCAGCACTCAGGAGGCAGAGGCAGGCAGATCTCTGTGAGTTCGAGACTAGCCTGGTCTACAAGAGCTAGTTCCAGGACAGGCTCCAAAACCATAGAGAAACCCTGTCTCGAAANAAAAAACCAAAAAAAAAAAAAAAAAAAAAAAAAAGAAAAGAAAGAAATTTGTTCTCTAAATTACTATTAAAATGTTTAAATCACAAATATTATTATAGACCAGTCACATGCCACTGTCTGTCAGTGATGGACTACATACTCCCTATGAGTACACCACCTGATTGTAGTCATTGTAGTTTGTGTTGCGTATATCTGCTGTGGTCACATAATGGTTAGACACCCTAAGAGTACATTTCTCTGAAAATGTCCCCATCTTTAAACAATGCTTGACTACTGTCTTTATATTCTAGTTTTACTTTGTAACTTTATAAGAACCTAATAGGAAAAGAATGTGATCCATTTATACTATCATTTAATAGCCTGCTGATACTGTAATAAACTACCAATTTTTTTTGTTTTATAGGAGAAAACGTGGGCTCTGGAACTCTGGCAGACTGCTTCTCAGGAGCTGGAGAGTGTACGGAAACTTTACCAGGAGCATATGACTGAAGCCCAGATCCATGTCTTTGAAAATCAAAAACAAAAGGTAAAGTCAGTTTTCATGATTTTCTTAAATAATGGTCAGAAATCATAAAAATCATGAAAAGAAAACTGTTTGGGGAAGAAATTCCCAAGTCTCGTGTTTTTTAATTAATTAATTAACAATGAATGTATCTCAGGTGAGTAATCAAAGTGCCGCAGTGGTGTTGAGTTTTTAATGTGATTAGAAATAAAAGGTGTATTAGTTTTTTTTTGTTGTTGCTTTTTTATTTTATGTTTCGAGACAGGGTTTCTCCGTAGCTTTTGATTCCTGTCCTGAAACTAGCTCTTGTAGACCAGGCTGGCCTCGAACTCACAGAGATCCGCCTGCCTCTGCCTCCCAAGTGCTGGGATTAAAAGCGTGCGCCACCACTGCCGGGCAAGGTGTATTAATTTTGAGAAGTATAAGATTGTTCTTTTATAAAATGACCTCTGAAGTTTTCATTGATTAATTTCCTACCTTTGAAACTAAACAAAAATTGGTCATTGAGTTACAGTTTTATTCTAGGAAGAAGGCTTAGTTATTTGATATTTTCTGTCTAAAACAAGAGTGCTTTTACGTTGGCCATCTAGCTTTTGATGTATACCTTTATAAACAAAACTGTTTCATAAAGACCACCTGTCACATTGGAAAAGCTGCCTTTGTTGTTGGGGTTTCTGTCCTGCCCGGTTCCCGCAATTACTAAGTCTACATTAACTATAAACTGACTGGCCCATTAGCTCAGGCTTCTTTTTTTTTTTTTTTTTTTTTAAAGCCTCCAATTTTCTTTTTTTTTAAATATAATTTTTTATTGAAAATAAAAAGATTTCCGCCTCCTCCCCGCCTCCCATTTCCCTCCCCGTCTCCCTTTCCCCCCTCCTCCCTCTCCTCTCCCCCTCTCCCCACTCCTCTCCCCCTCCCTCTCCAGTCTGAAGGGGAGTCAGGGTTCCCTGCCCTGTGGAAAGTCCAAAGTCCTCCCCGCTCCATCCTGGTCTGGTGGTGGACATCCAAACTGGCTAGGCTCCCACAAAGCCAGAACATGAAGTAGGATCAAAGCCCAGTGCCATTGTCCTTGGCTTCTCAGCAGCCCTCTTTGTCCGCCATATTCAGAGAGTCCGGTTTTATCCCATGCTTTTTCAGTCGCAGTCCAGCTGGCCTTGGTGAGCTCACAATAGATCAGCCCCACTGTCTCCGTGGGTGGGTGCACCCCTCGTGGTCCTGCTTCTTTGCTCATATTTTCCCTCCTTCTGCTCCTCCTTGGGACATTGGGAGCTCAGTCCTGTGCTCCAGTGTGGGTCTCTGTCTCTATCTCCATCCATCTCCAGATGAAGGTTCTATGGTGATATGCAAGATATTCATCAGTATGGCTATAGGATAGGGTCATTTCAGGTTCTCTGTCTTCAGCTGCCCCAGGAACTAACTGGGGACATCGCCCTGGGCACCTGGGAGCACCATATCTCTTGCCAACCCTAAGATGGCTCCCTTAATTAAGATGTGTGCTTCCCTGCTCCCCTATCCGACCTTCCTTTATCCCAAACATCCCGTTTCCCAAGTTCCCCCCAACCTCCCCTTCTCACTTTTCTCTCCCCATCTCCCCTTACCTCCCTCCCCCAAGATCCCATTTTTTGCCCAGCAATCTTGTCTACTTCCCATAATCAGGAGGATAGCTATATGTTTTTCTTTGGGATCACCTTCTTATTTAGCTTCTTTAGGAGATCAAATTATAGACTCACTGACCTTTATTTATCTCTAGAAACCAATTATGAGTGAGTACATCCCATGTTCATCTTTTTGGGTCTGGGTTACCTCACTCAGGATAGTGTGTTCTATTTCCATCCATTTGCATGCAAAATTCGAGAAGTCATTGTTTTTTACCGCTGAGTAGTATTCTAATGTGTATATATTCCACACTTTCTTCATCCATTCTTCCATTGAAGGACATCTAGGTCGTTTCCAGGTTCTGGCTATTACAAATAATGCTGCTATGAACATAGTTGAACAAATGCCCCTGTCATATGATCGGGCATCTCTTGGCTATATTCCCAAGAGTGGCATTGCTGGGTCCAGGGGTAGGTTGATCCCGAATTTCCTGAGAAACCGCCACACTGCTTTCCAAAGTGGTTGCACAAGTTTGCATTCCCACCAGCAATGGATGAGGGTACCCCTTTCTCCACAACCTCTCCAGCAAAGGATATCATTGGTGTTTTTGATTTTAGCCATTCTGACAGGTGTAAGATGATATCTCAAAGTTGTTTTGATTTGCATTTCCCTGATCGCTAAGGAGGTTGAGCATAACCTTAAGTGTCTTTTAGCCATTTGAATTTCTTCTGTTGAGAATTCTCTGTTCAGGTCAGTGCCCCATTTTTTAATTGGGTTAATTAGCATTTTAACGTCTAGTTTCTTGAGTTCTTTATATATTTTGGAGATCAGACCTTTGTCTGTTGCGGGGGTGGTAAAGATCTTCTCCCAGTCAGTGGGTTGCCTTTTTGTCTTCGTGACAGTGTCCTTTGCTTTGCAGAAGCTTCTCAGTTTCAGTAGGTCCCATTTATTCAATGTTGCCCTTAATGTCTGTGCTGCTGGGGTTATACATAGGAAGCTATCTCCTGTGCCCATCTGTTGTAGGGTACTTCCCACTTTCTCTTCTATCAGGTTCAGTGTGTTCAGACTGATATTGAGGTCTTTGATCCATTTGGACTTGAGTTTTGTGCTAGCTCAGGCTTCTTATTAACTCTTATAACTTATTTTAACCCATTATTCTAGTATATGTTAGCCACATGGCTCGGTACCTTTTTCAGCAAGGCAGTCACATCTTGCTTGTTCTGTGTCGGCGTCAGGACTGCACACCAAGCTTTCCTCTTCTCAGAATTCTCCTGTTCTCTTTGACCTGCCTCTACTTCCTGTCTGGTTGCCCTGCCTATACTTCCTGCCTGGCTACTGGCCAATCAGCATTTATTTAAAAAAAATTGACAGAATACAGACCATTCTCCCACACTGTGCCTTCATTGTTTTTCTGTTGGTTCTTTTACTGCTGCATACATTTGAGTACAATGGCCAGCTTATACTTCTGAGCATTTTCTGCCATTCTTGAGGAGTATCTGTTTAAATAAGTGGATTATCTTAACTCTGATTTGTTAATTCTTCAAGTTAAAGTTTGTGAATATTCTTATCATTATAGTGAATTTCTGCTTGTATAATCATAATGATACTTATATGATATTCTAGTTTACAGATATCTTTTTAATTTTTATCCATGCTATGGTTTGAAATAACACATATAATCTGACTATAGAACTTGTACTTCTGAAGTCTAATATAAACCATTTTTAATAAAAGTAAATTCTTCAAGGCAACAGCTAAGCCCTTTAATTATTATGTTGTTTTCACATAAGATCATTCTTGTAGGGAAGTTATGTCATTTAATTTTTTTGTAAATAACTTTGCAAATAATACTTCGTCTCTCTTTTCCTAGTTACCTTTTAATTATTACTTTGTTACTAGTTGCCTTTTAACTATTACTTTGTTATCTAACATGTTAACAATCTGTTCCAAATTTATATTATTTGTAATGTTTAAAAGGATCATAAGATTTGATCAAATGGTTTTGAACTTGCAGAACATGGGAACTTCACAACAGTTGCACAGTCAACACAGTTTATCCTGTCCATTTGGAATGTGTTTGAACATGTGGTTTCCAGTGTCATGAACACACTCTCTAGCTTTTGAAATTTCTAGTAACTTAGCAAATGTTTGTACATGCATGTCTTTTATATCTAAAATAGTATTTACCAGCAGATAAATTTATAAAAATGATTTTACTTAAAACAAATTATTATCACCATTGCCTATTTTTTTTAATTCTTCAAATCATTGAAGGTTTTTTCTTATTTATTTGACTACTGAATTTACATAATAGAAGATATAATGCTGATGTCACATATATTTAAATATATGATTTTGGATCTGATTTTAGTTTTATTTAAAGTAGTAGTTTTATTTAAACAAAACATGATGAACTTACCTTACTTTCCTATTAGGATCAGCTGAATAATTTTCAACAACTAACCAAGAAACTTCATGTTGCTAATGAGAACATAGAAATGGTAAGTGGAAATAACCATTTCCTGTACCTGATTTTTACAAATTAGAGACTGTATCTATATTTATTTATACTTATTCACAGCAAGGCAAAAATCATGTTATATTTATTAAAACATCTAGAGAGTATCTTTTTTGATTTTCTTACATATTCACTACCCTTTCAAGATATAACCAACAAGTCTTTGAATTACATTCAAATCTAAAAACTATTTTAGGTTATTTGGCAAGGTCTCTTAAGAATAGGGTTGTCTAGACCGTCAACTCCTCAAAAGTAATGTACACATCTAATCTTTAGTGTTTCTTACTACACACAGCCAGAAATATGATAAGAATAACATAAACCTTTGCTGAAGGAATGATTTGCTTCTTTAAAAGAAATTAAACTAAGAATGATCTGTAAATTAACTGTCAATTTAACCTTAATATATATAAATTCCCTTACATTTTCTAAAACAAATATAATTTGGGCCCTCAGTTCCACTTAGTCTCTATTAATTCTCTTATTTTCCATTTACTTTCTTTACTTCCTTGGAATTTTATTTTTTACTCATTGTTGAGTAATAGAATTATAGCACTCTGGGTGATCCCTCCCTTTGCTTTTCATTCTTCCCTAGTTACTCTGCTAATTCTTGTGAATACCTAAACAGTAGCTATGCTTAAGAGTAATTATGTCATCAAAAGTAAGTCATCCCATTTTATTGCACTGTTTTATTATCCTTTAATCAAATGTCTCCTGCTTATGCTAACATTTAGGAACTTGTTTCTTTGTATTGTTTTTGAGACATAGACTTATACTGTAGCCTAGGCTGGCGCGCATTTACCAAGGCTGGCTTCAATCTCCTGACAGTCCTCTTGCCTCACTTTGATTGCAGACATGAGGCATCACACCTATGCTTTCTAATCATAGGTTGTTTGTGTGGTTTTTGTTGTTGTTGTTGGTTTTTTTTTGCTTCTTTTACAATATATTTCTGAGAAGTGTTAAAATTCAAGTTAAATGCTCCAAGACAAAAGGATTGCTGAGTTCTGTAACCAAGAGATGCTTTTAATAATATATTTCTACATGGGAACTAGTACTTTAACCTAATATAACAATTATTTGTCATTTCTCCCAATGTATCTTCCAGAACTATGGGAATTATATAAGTCTTTGATATTCCTACTGAAGATACATTACTGTTTTAATAACTCATAAATATTTTTAAGGAAAGTATTTTTAATATTTTTAAGAAAAGGATGTTTGGGTATTTATAGGATATATTAAATAAACCATTAAAGTAAAAGTCGTACCTTTAATTCCAGCATTTATGAGACAGAGGCAAAGGCAAGCAGCTTCAGTTTAGGACCATGATTGTCTACATAATGAGATGAGACCCTGTCTTTATAAAAAGGAAAAATTTGGGGGGCTGGAGAAATGGCTCAGAAGTTAAGAGCACTGCCTGCTCATCCAAAGGTCCTGAGTTCAATTCCCAGCAACCACATGGTGGCTCACAACCATCTATAATGGGGTCTGGTGCCCTCTTCTGGCCTGCAGACATACACACATAATATTGTATAAATAAAAAATAAAAAAAAAAAAAAGGAAAAATTTGTAGTGTCAGACCAGAACTGACACTATATAATGTATATAGTGGATGTCAGTTAACTACTAAGCACTAAGACTGGCATGAAACAACTGTGTACAAATCAAAGAGCATTCAGAGCTTAGTTGCAAGAGCAAATCTGAATCAAGATCAAAACAAAAAGGAGCATGCCCAACAGAAGTCAAGCAGTTCCCATTTTAAAAGGTCGCTCACTAGACTCCTGCAGATGCACAGTGAAGTATTGAGTAATTTATGGTAAAGTTTGTTGTAGTGAAACTTGAGGAAGATGTCAAGAGCAGAAAAACCTGTCTCCTTTTCCCACAAAGACATTGATTTAGCAACCCAGAACCCATTGAAAAGTTCCTGTCTCCCAGGAGAAGATGAAACCAGACCCAGTAAAACTAGTGAGTTGGTTTTGGTTTTTGTTACAGGCATGGTTCCCAGTATAGCACCATAGTATGATATAATCAAAAATAAGACTCTGTAGCTCCCAGCCCCCTCCAAAGGAAATAAGAGATTGTCTCAGTCTCACAAAATTGACTTCCATCTTGTTTGTCCTGGAGTTGCTACAATTCCCGGACAGTTTGGCCACTGTGCAGAGAATGATGGAGTGCTGCTGGGACTAGTACATGTCGTTGGCCGCCATTACCAGCTCATGAATGACAGCTCAGCCTTGACTTCCTCCTGCATGAAAGAATAGATCTTTGCATCCAGTACCCAATCTTCTTAGTGCTTTCCAGAAATGTGTCAGTCTTATAGTCTTCATCCTCTGTCCAGCACAGTGTGGCTGCCTGAGGAAATGCGGGGTTATGACACAGACTGATGCATGCCATAGTGCCTTGGCACAGAGCAAGTACACAAAAGCTATTGCTGCCACTCTCTCTAGGGGTGGGAAATAATCCATGGCACCTCCTAAACCTGTGATTAACTAAGTGGTGGAGTCCTCTCGTCTAAGGCATCAGTCTTTGAAGTTCAGTAGGATTCCACTTTTCTTTCATCTCTAAAAACCAAAACAGTTGCATATATATATATGCATATATATATATATAGAGAGAGAGAGAGAGATTAGTTAGAGAATATAAAAGTAATTTATTAAGATCAGTGAGGTCAATGAAAAAATTCAAATTCATGAAATAGGAACTTTGGACAAAGAGAATGTATTTTTTTTTAATTCTAAAGACTGTATACTAGCCTGACATTCACTTTAGGAGTTTAGATCAAGTGAAAGAATAAGATAATTTAAAGAGAGGAATTAAAATCTTAATAAATCTAATAAAAAATAGAGAATCAGGAATCGAAGATAAGTTACAGAGCTAACTCCTGGTAGCAGTTAGAGATAATCTTTAAAAAATATTTACCACAGTTTCAATAACTGCAAAACTGAATAATTTTAAGGGCAAAAGAAAGAGATGGGACTAAAAAAAGCAAATAGAGATGTGTAAAACATGTTCATTATAGAAGAAAATCTACAAAAAGATATGGCAATCCAAGAATAGGAACCATGAAGAGCTCCAAATAGGACCACAAATAATGTCTCCATGTGACATTGTAGTTAAATGCCAAGAGTACAGAAGAAAAACAAAATACTGAAAGCTCTAAGAGCATAATCCCAAGTTGCTCCTAAAGACAAACTCATTAGCATTACATCAGACCTCTCCTCTCAGGAGAAGTTCTAAGCCAAGAAAACATGGTAAATAGCTGCCAACTAAGATTATCAGCTCCAACCACGTTATTTAAAATCAATGGAGAAATAAAGACCTTCCAAGATGAACACAAATGAAAGCAACACATGCCAACTAAGCCAGCACTAAGGATTATATGTAAAAGATTCCAAAGCAGAAATGAGGAAAAGAGAATCGTGAAACCTAAGAATAATTTTCATGAGGAAAGATGAACAAATAAGAATTAGGAATGAATCCTGCATGTTCAACTCAGGGGAAAAAAACCACATCCTCTAGAATTAACAACAGCAAAAACTCATATGTGCAGTGCAAACTCAAGTTAAAACTAATCTAAAGAGCTTGTAAATGTTTCTATATATTGACAAAGGGAACAATCCATTACAGAAAATGTAACTGCCATTTGTATGTGTGCAACAAATGTCGGTGTGCCCACTTTCTTAAATATTATCAGTAGATATAAAAGGATATAATAATAGTGGAAAATGTCAGTAACCTACTCAATATCAGTAGATAGATCATCCAAGTGGGAAAAGTTAACACAAACTTCAGAGTGAAATTATACACTTAACAGGTATCCTTTAGATGAATAGCTACAGGTGATTGGAAGTAACTTAGAGAAGGATTTGTCTTGCCCAGAAATGAGCACCCTAAATGGTTATCAAATCATAAGTGCCCATCCTTAAAAGACTATACATATAAGCAACAGTAAATAAAAACTCCTGATTGGCTCACATTTGAGACCATTAATTTTTTAAGAGATAATACATGACAGAATATGGAAGGGGTAGAGAGAGGGAGAAAATGTTGTTATATTTTAATTTTGAAAGGGATTATAGAGATGTAGAAGAGTAAAGGGGAGAACAGACAAATTATAACAAAAGGTGTAAATCTGATTGAAGCATACATCTGATACATGCAGATGTCATAGTGAAACCCATTATTTTATATAGATGAATATTCTTATAATCCTAACTCTGAAAGCAGTCAAAAGGATGGAAAGTTGAGACCAGTCTGAGCTATATAGCAAGACTCTATCAAGCTTTTTTAATTGACTTTAAAATAAAATACATTGGGCCAGAAACATAAGTCAGCAGAAAAAAGTAGTGCTGCCAAAACTAAAGACTTGAATCTAATTCCTGAGACCCACGTGGTAGAAAGAGAGAGCTGATTCCCACAAGTTGGCTTTTGACCTCCAAGTGCTGTGACATGTGCCTTCCTTCAATAACTATATGTAATTTTCAGGTTTTTAAGAATAAATCAGATAAATTAGCCGTGTTTCTGGAATATAATCCCAGTGATAAAGATAGGTTTTTGTCCCACCTGTGAACACAGGGTTTTGCAGTATTTATACCTCAGTACCATCAATATTGTTAGACTGTTCTACAAGAGTCAACATTCATCCCATCACCTATAGCATTTTTCAGTTTCCTGCACTTGAAGATGAATAAAAGATCAGCCAGAGAAAGCCCTTAGACAGGAATTCAGGGCCAGGTAGTTTAGAAGGATCCATGGAAGTAAAGGTAAGAAAGGAAGAACCAAGGTTACATTTTAACCTCAAAAAAACATAGTAATTATTAAGAATCTTATCTTTTTTGGGTCTTTTTTTTACTTTGATGCTTTATGTCGCCTTTGAAAATACAGTTCTAAATGTTCTAATACTGAACGTTTCTGATTTGTTCTTACGGCAGACTAACCAACACTTCCTGAAAACGGTAACTGAACAAAACATGGAGATCGAGAAACTTCGAAAACATCTTAGGTATTTTCAGGCATGATATTTATTATTAATGTTTTTATTATTAATGAATTCGGGGAAACTTCCTTATATTTCCATAGATTTTCCTATCTTTTTTCTCCCTCCCTTTTATTAAACCTTTACCAGAAACATTCTGTGTATATGAGCATCAGCCATGGGAAGAGACTGAAAGCAGTCAGTCCAGTGATGACTCTACCATGTATGTGAAGGGATCGTAAGCCAGTGCTACAATAGAAAACTAACTCCTAGAAAAGTGTTCTGCCTGTCTTTATCTTTCATTAGACTCTGCCTGAGGAGCAGGAGCTCCAAAACCTGTTATTTCTTAGCAGATAGTCATAGGGAGTACCAGTAGGGAGTGGGGAACAGAGATTGGGAAGAGAAGATATGCCTAGTACAGATAGCCATTGACTTCCTGTCCTTCTTTTCTTTCTGTTTTTATGATAGAACTTCAAACTAAAAGCAGTTTCCGAAAGAAGGGGTTTTTTTTATATGCTTACCCTTCCGTTGCACTGCCCATCACTGGGAAGACAGGGCAGGAAGTATTGCAGAGACCATGGAGGAATGGTGCTTACTGACTCTGTCTCTGGCTTGCTCAACTACCTTTCTTGCACAGCCAGGGCCAACTGCCCAGAAATGGCACTGCCCATGGTGAACTGGGTCCTCCCACATCAGTATTAAAAAAGAGAACCCCCCTCCCAGATTTGTGTAAGGCCAGCCTGGTGGAGGCAATTCCTTTGTTTTCCCTCTTCTCAAATGACTCTTAAATTATATCACAGTTGACTGAAAAACAAACAACGTAAAAGCAGTGAGCACATTTGTCATCCATGGAACACTGCACTTACGAGGAGGAATTTTTTTATCATCTAGATTTTTGTAATTTATTGTAATATAAACTCAGAATATTCACTGGTAATTATCTGGAACTTATTGAAAACTGCTGTAATGTAATGTCCCCCTTCCGTCTCTGGTTTTGACAGGCCTTTGACTAGTTTGGCTGAGGACTGCCGTTTGTGAGTTCACTTGTCCTTTTCAAAGAACCCACTCTGTTTCATGATCTTTGTGTTGTTTTCTTAGTTTTTCATTTCATGAATTTAAACTCTGGTCTTTATCATTTGTTTCCTTGTGCAGATTTGGAAGAAAACTTTTCTAAGACCTTGAGTTTTATTATTAGATTATTTATTTGGGATCTCTAATTTTTTGATGTAGACATTTGTTACTACAAAGCTCCCCGTTATCCCTGCTTTTCACTGTTTCCCCCTGGTTCTAGTGTGTTGTGCTTTCATTCTCATTCGATGCTAAGAATTGTTTTATTTCCTTACTGATGCCTTTAGGGACTTCAAAAATTCCTTTAGTGATTCAAAAATGTGTACTTTGGGGGCTGGAGAGATGGCTCAGTGGTTGAGAGCATTGCCTGCTCTTCCAAAGGTCCTGAGTTCAATTCCCAGCAACCACATGGTGGCTCACAACCATCTGTAAAGAGGTCTGGCGCCCTCTTCTGGCATTCAGGCATACAGACAGGATATTGTATACGTAATAAATAAATGAATAAATATTTTTAAAAAAATGTGTACTTTGCTGCTTCAGGGTGGAATAACTTGTGATATCTATTAAGTCCATTTGATCTCTCGTTTAACTCTCAAGTCTTTTGTTATATTTTATCTGGATGACTTAGTTATTGATGAGAATGAAATATTATTGAAGTCACCCATTATTGTTGCTTTAAGTCCATTTGGCCCTTTATGACTAGTAGTTTTGATTTATAATATTAGGTATAGTACTGTTGAGTGCACATATTTTTGCTATACTAATATCCTTCATTGATATAAATTGGCTGTTCTTTTTGTTTGGTTTGTTTTGCCTTCTTTTTGACAAAGATATTTAAACAAGTACAACAAAATAAATAGGTAAGAAATTAGGAACACCTTCAAAAAACTTTAATATTAGTGACTAGGGAGGTGATTCCGTGGGTAAGATTTCCAAGCATGTGAACCTAAATTGAGATCCTAGCAGAGATATAAAAAGCTAAGCATAGCTGTGCATGACTACAACATCAGCACTGAAGTGGAAAAAGAAGAAAATTGACAGACGTTGAGGCCTTTACCCTCGCTGAGAAAATGGGGACCTTGCTTTCTGTGAGAAATAAAGGAAAAGACTTGATGGTCTCCTCTGGCCTCTACACGTGCATGTGCATGAGGCAAATATATCTATGTACACACATGAGCAAACACATGACATCTTACTCAGAGAAGTAAATTTGAAGAAATAGAAATTTGCAATGATGGATTAAGAAATCTCAGCAAAGAAACAGAAAATCTAAAAACAAAACAAAATTGAGAACTACTTACAGCAGAATTAGAAACTTCAATTCTTTCATAAGAGTATTTCCCCATACCTTTATATTTCAAAGTAATGTAAGTTAGAATAATTTGTCTAAAAGAGTGTGTTGTTATGAGACAGAAAGATTGAAAGAGGTATAGTAATCTAAAATTAGCTTGATAAAATAGTAAAATGTCAATTACCATGGGAAAAAAATCTTATTGTTATTTTTAAGGGTGAGATTGATGAAATAAAACAAAACAAAATATATTTATGGGAGTGTACTATAACAGCATTAACATTATAAGTAATAGGGAACTATCATGTTGGGAATAGTTGCTATATATAAGAAAGTTTTATGAGAGTTTTTTCTTCCTCATTTATTTTTATATAGGTTTGTGGGTTTAATATCTAAATTGAGAAACAAGACTCCAGAGTTTTTTTTTTTTAATAAGATAATCTAAATATTTCTACTGCTATTTCAGCCATTGTGTCTCTACATTTACTGGCCTATTCCTCTGGTGTGGCCTGGCCATGAAGGCTGCAGCTCGGTGGGAATTGTGTTCCTGCAGTTACAGGCCCTGTCACTGTCACTAAAGGTTGCTTTAACTAAATCTCTCTTGCTATAAAGACAACTGGAGATTCAAAGGCTAGGGCGAAAACCAGCAAACTCAGAGAGGTGAACTAGCAACAAGCTAACCTCTCCTCGCTGGTATCTCCCAAAGAGAGCTTCCTTCTGCACCACTCCAAGTCCCTCCCAACAAGTACCTGGGTGTCTGTCTAACTCTTCCAGATGCCCTCTTATTCCCTATGATTAATTTCTGTCAACTAGTTGCTAACTCAGCCTCCTGATCCAAGGTTAATTTTATTTAATTAATACAAATACAATCTTGGGCTTCACAGTGTGATTGAATATCCCCAAACAGCAGGCAGCCTACTTGTTCATCACCAAGGGAACTGTAGGTAAAATATAGTAATTAGGTGTATGGAAAACTAGGCATCAACAGCAAGCATTGGTGTATTTCATATAAATAGATAATAAAATCCAAAACATCGATCTAGAAAATAATGTTTACATTACACAGGTAGGGATCTTTAGTATAAAAACATGCACTAATAGCATCTATGGCATGAACTTTCAAAACAAGAGGGACCACCAAACACAACTGAAAGCTTTGTGATGACAGTTGAAAACAATGAGTCATCTAACAGTGTGCTTAACTCTAAATTCAGAAAAGATTGCAAGGAAAAGATATCTGTAGCATATAGAGGATGACTTAGAGTGTAGAGATAGATCCTGGAAGAAAGAAGAGTCAGGAAACTGATTGATGATGACCTGCAGTCATGTACTGAGAAATAAAGTGGATATGGAAGATCCCTTGTTGAAAGGGAAAGTGGGAGAAGTGGGGACTAGAGGTCAAGGTAAACTATTACTAGTTGAACTGGCAGACATCATCTTAATGGCCTTTTTTTTTTAACTTCTTAATGTTATNTAAAAAAAAAAAAAAAAAAAAAAAAAAAAAAAAAAAAAAAAAAAAAAAACCTAAACCGAACCAAAGGCTTGAACTGTCTCACCCAGGGTTTTCCAACAGACTCAAGGAAGAGCCAAGTTGGAACTCATATCTTTTCAGTGCTACTCTTAGTGAGCTGCTAACCCTGGCTTTCTGACAGTATTCACAGCCGTGAAGAATCAAGAATGAGAGTTGATTGGAAAAGAAAGGATGATGAATGGGTTTGTTGGTTTTTGATATCTGTGTGGAAGATTCATTTGGGTTTGGACATTTGGTGTAAAGACTGCGGCTGAAGATTAAATGAGTTGAGAATGATAATGCTAGTTGTGGTTATCTGAAGCCTAAAAGGTCTTGAATGTTGCACTGCCCATAAGCAATTTTCCATATTATTTACCAATGGTATTCTATAGCTCAACATTAAGCAGTTCAGAGCTGTATACATAACGCTATGCCTGCTTTTGCTGCCACAGATTTGAAGGAACAGAAGGATAAGCAGATGCTTCTTTGAGGGAAAGGATGTTGCTTTCAAGTTTGACAGATTCTGAATGATGGGCATATTGACATTACCAAAATTCAGTTTTGAAATGCTCTATAATGCCATGCCAAGAAAAAGTAAATTAGAAATTCTTTAAACACATTTGTACTTACACTGAAACATAGTTTCATTTGTTGTCTGATAATATGATTCCAAAAACTAAAATCATGTGAATATATAATTAAAGCTTCTTTTGTTTTCCTTTTTGAGAGTTTTGGTGATACTCTGCCATAGCAAATGAAACAATTCAGGCTGTTTTCTCACAGCCTTCATTCCCTGGCCGTCCTTAGCCCTCCAGTGTAAAGTGCCCAGGGCCACTTTGCTGTTTCTCAAAAACCTCTTGCTTCCTTCTCTTTGCCTTTTGATTATTATTCTTTCTCAGAAAAAAATGTGTACGCTCTCTGGCTACACTTGCTTTCTGCAGGAGGGTGTTCTTCATTACACCAGAATTTTACCTTTTTCCTTACAGATCCACTTAGCACTTACTCGTTTAATTGAAATTTTATATTATTTCTCTGTAGTGCTTTTTTATTTCATTATATTTGCTTAGTAGCAAATATACTGAGCATAGTAAGCTCAAATTCTGCATGTTGGATATGTCTTTGAAAGAAAGGGAGCCAAACATGGTGGCACACACCTTT